GATATAACGATTAACAAATGCCTTATATGTTCACGCCAGAGATATAACGTCAGAGATATAAACCAATATGCAACGGTAACAACAATTAGTTAACACATACAGCTTATATATAACAGTTAAACCTAAGTTAACAATAAGATATACTACCGATAATTACCATGTTTACTTATTCAGGAGGCTGTCTTTGCAAATGGGCATTATGGCAACACAATCTAACCGTCACAGTTAATAATAAGAAGTTAACAGTGATGTCATCTATATTATGGTTATCAAATAGTGTTCGTTTACTAGAAAATCCTGAGTAACTACAGCAAATTACTTACGATTAGCATGTAACATTTTCGTTAGTTGCTATTAATGTTAGTTAACGCAAACACATGTAGTTTTTTGTATCGTCCTGCTAATGTATTGGGTATTTGTTTTTGTTTCTCGGTCGCGAGGTTTACGCCTTATTTCCTAATCAATCAATAACGGCTAACAAAAATAAGTTACCAAGTACAACATAACCATAACAGGTAACATATTTAACAACATACTTCATCATTAGGATGGTGTGGGAGATTACACATAAACGTATCCGAGATATTACAAAGTCGTCTTTAAACAAACCAAAATGTGACGACATACTTTCTTAATCCTTCTGCCGATTCTACATTAAAGGGAAAATACTTACTTCATATTACATAGTTCCTAACATTCCCTTAGTCGAACATTTGAAAATTTAAGGGAACAAAACACACCATCCTGCCGCCAAAAGTAAACAATTTCTTATACTAGCATCCTTACTCACCCTGAGAGACAGAAGCAAGACTGAGTTATAACAGGTTTTTGCTATTTTGTAGGAAAATTGACTAAGGTACGCAACGGTAAAGGAGCTTTGCAGATTGAACGATTGTGCCCGCGCCCATGGCATCTAGTGCACTTCCTTCTAGTAACACGCTGTAGAATAGAAGGGAAGAAACATCAGTGATAACTGAATTCACAGCTACAATAGTTATTGTTGGGGTCGGTTTTCACCCCAAGTAGATAAACCACCTCAGAATGGCTAAGTATGGAAGAAAGATAAGTGGGAGAGCCGTGGTCGCCAAGTGGGAGAGCCGTGGTCGCCAAGTGGGAGAGCCGTGGTCGCCAAGTGGGAGAGCCGTTCTCACCATGACAAGTGGAGAGCCGTTCTCACCAAGACAAATAGGAGAGCCGTGCAGATAGGCCAGTAGGGAGAGCCGTGAAAGAAGACAGGTGGACCGAGCCGCATCGAAAGAAATGGGCCGAGCCCCACTTCAACACTTTTGGGCTGAGCTGTGTATCGGTGCGGTGGGCTAGATCATGTCTCCATGGCAAGTGGGCCGAGCCGTGAAGAAGGCTAGATGGGCCGAGCCGTAAAGAAGCTTGGACGGGCCGAACCAAAGCCTTGAGAGATGAAGCCCATGGAAAACCCTAGGCGAGATGCAAAGGCGGTCAGCCGCACGAGGCGATAAGGAAATATTCCGAAAATCTCGCCCGAGATTTTCGGCTAGGCGGTTTAGAAAGTTAGTATAAATATATGATGTATGCAATTCATTCCGCCAATTTTGGCAACCCTAAGCAATAAGACCTACACACTTTCACAGCAATAAAAATCCTCTTTTGATCTTACTGTTCTTGCGATTACCCTAGAAGTTTCAGATCCCTTAGTTTCTCTTCACAAATTTTTGGTTGTGCGAGTTTTGGCTCACACAATTTGGCGCCGTCTGTGGGGAAACAAAACTTTCTTACTCTAAATTGACAAGGCTTTAAGATCCGAAGAATATGGCGAGCAACGCTAACGATGATAACAACAACACCGGTAACGGCGCGGGGAAGGACGCTCCAGCATCAGGCACAACGACGGCGACGACCGAAACCCAAGAGGAGAAGCGATACATGATGGCTGCGTTAATGAAAAAAATTGACGACCAAGACAAAAGAAAAGAGGCGATTACGGCGAGGCTCGACGCGATGGCGGCTGAGCGACAACACTCGACTTGGAGAGCCGAAATCCCCGACCCGATGGATGGAACTCGGAGACGCTTCGATTTCTCGACACCCGCAGAAGCCTCAGGGAGTGGCGCAAGAAATTCCTCGGTTCTTCGTCCCCTTGACGAACGTACTCCCGCAGCAACCCGAATCAACATGACCGAGCTGCCTCCACTACGCCGAAACTCCAGGCGACTAGCCGGTGAGGAAGAGGACAATGCGATTGACGTAAACGCACAGCAGAACGACAAAACCACGAATCCTCAACAAACTGGCTCGGCTCGCGGAATTAGTCAAGAAGAACTCGCCTCGGCACTTAATGGCATCCAGACTGACGAAGTCTCCGATCCGACCCGAGGCGATAATCCAACCGAGGTGGAAGAAAACCTCCAATGGATCGAGCAGGCAGAACGCGAAGCCGAGCCGAGGCAAGAGGAGCGGGAGCGACCCCCCCAATCAAAGGGAATGACTCACGCACAAACTCTCGAGCTCAAAGAGCTGCGAGCCTCGATGGCTCGGGCAGTGGCTGAAATACGCGCCATGAAATCTCAAGTGCACAACGCGACGAGCGCCGCGCCCAAAATCGACCGAATGCTTGAAGAAACTCAAAGAACCCCGTTCACTGCAAGAATCACGGAGGCCAGGATTCTTGAGTCGGGGAAGGTGAGAATCTCGTTCTACGAAGGAACAACCGATCCGAAAGCACACATCACCGCGTTTCGGATAGCAATGGGACGAGCCTTCACGAAGAACACCGTTAAACTCACCGAGCGCGAAGTGGATGCCGGATACTGCCTGCTCTTCGTGGAACATCTCAAAGGAGCCGCGCTCGAATGGTTTTCGAGGCAGGAGCGCAACTCGATCGGTGGTTTTCAACAGCTCTCCGCTTTGTTCCTCAAACAATACTCGATGTTCATGGACAGAGGAACGTCTGATGCCAACCTGTGGACACTATCCCAAGGACCGAACGAGCCGCTTCAAGATTACATGGCAAGGGCCAAGGCAGTCGTATCCAAAATAGAAGGGATAAGCGACAAGGCTGCGCTCGAGGCTCTGAAACGATCTTTGTGGTACAAGTCTGAGTTCCGATGGGAGATGGCTCTCAACACGCCGCAAACAATTCAAGACGCTTTGCACCGATCATTAGACTTCGTCGTGAACGAAGAGGAGATGAAAAACTTAGACGAGCAGTATGAAGCAACGAAAGCAGTAATCCGAAGCTCAATTTTGCCGCGCCCCACGAAGAAGGGCAACCCATCAAACAATACAACAACGTCAAGCCCGGATGAACCTAGAAGCGGAGGAGCCCATTGGCATCGGACGCGGAAGAGGAGAGCCGCGCAACAACACTTGGGTGAGAAAGTCCGCCAACTACGACGAGAAGGCTTTCTGCGAGTATCACCAGACGTACGGACACTCAACGGCTCAATGCAGAACTTTAGGAACAAAGCTCGCAGCTAAGATGGCAGCGGGAGAGCTCCAAAACGCGTTCAACCTCAAAGACCTCATCCCTAACGAACAACAAGAGAGAGTCGAGCCGAGCGGCACGGCGGAACCCGCAAATCCTCCCAGACGAGGTGATAACTCCAAGCGTGACAGGAGAGGCGAACCTGAAGAGCGACCCGAGCCGAGGCAAAGGATCAATATGATCATGGGTGGATCCCAGTACTACCAAGATACCGTATCCTCCATCAAAGCCTATCAGCGTCGAGCCAAGGCAAAAGAGAATTGGACAGAACCAACCAACGTCCCAAACACAGTGATCTCCTTCGCCGAGGAGGAAACGGCAAGAATCGATTGACCCCACAACGATCCGTTGGTGATCGAGTTAACAATCAGGGATCATGACGTAGCAAGGCTGCTCATCGACACTGGAAGCTCGGTAAACGTCATCTTCAGAGAAACGCTCCGAAGAATGGGAATCGACCTCTCCCAGGTGGAAGCAATCCCCAAACCTCTAGCCGGATTTTCAGGAGAAACGACGATGACTATGAGAACGATCAGACTTCCCGTGGTAGCTGGCGGAGTCACTAAGATCGTCGAATTCTGCGTCACTGATCACCCAGCAATCTACAATGTGATCATGGGAACTCCCTAGATCAACGGGATGGGGGCAGTACCCTCCACTTACCATCTCTGCCTCAAATTCCCAACTCCATCAGGCGTCAAAACGATCTGGGGGAATCAGAAGGAGTCACGAATGTGCTGCCTAGCCGAGCACAAGCTGAGGAACCCCGTCACCGACGCGCGAGTAGACATAGACCGCAAAAAGATGAAGACAGACAGAGAGCCCGCGAACGAGCTCTCCAAACTCTTATAGCAATTACAGATCGCGGAGAGCCGCGAAACACGCACCGAGCTGGTATGTGACGCAGTGGACTCGGTGTGCATAGATGAGGCGCATCCGGAGCGATGCGTTGAAATTGGAACACAACTAGGAGAGCCCCTGAGAAGCAAGCTCCTTTCCCTCCTCAAGGAGAACATCAACACCTTTGCCTGGACAGCAGAAGATATGCCAGGCATAAGCATCGACGTAACCTGTCACGAGCTGAATGTGGATCCGACCTTTAAACCAGTCAAGCAGAAAAGAAGGAAGCTCGGCCCCGAACGAGCTAAAGCAGTGAACGACGAAGTCGAGAGGTTACTCAAAGTGGGATCAATTGCCGAGGCCAAATATCCGGACTTGCTCGCAAATCCGGTGGTCGTGAAGAAGAAGAACGGCAAGTGGCGAGTATGTGTGGATTTTACCGACCTCAACAAGCCGTGCCCAAAAGACAGCTTTCCCTTGCCACACATAGACCGGCCCGTCGAAGCCACTGCAGGGAATAGACTGTTAGCGTTTATGGACGCGTTCTCCGGCTACAATCAGATCCTAATGCATCCTGACGGTATTCATAACTGACTGCGGGATATACTGCTACAAAGTCATGCCGTTCGGGCTCAAGAACGCAGGAGCAACGTATCAACGGCTCGTCAATAAAATGTTCTCTGCTCAGCTCGGAAAAACTATGGAAGTATACATCGACGACATGTTAGTCAAATCACTCAAGGAGGAAGACCACGTCGCGCATCTACGGGGATACTTCGAACAATTGAACAAGCACAACATGAAACTAAACCCGGCAAAGTGCAGGTTCGCGGTCACCTCGGGAGAATTCCTCGGCTATCTGGTAACTCACCGAGGCATAGAAGCAAATCCCAAGCAGATCAAAGCTTTGATTGAGATGCCCTCTCCGAGGACGAAGCGCGAAGTGCAGAGGCTCACAGGAAGAGTCGCCGCGCTAAACAGGTTTATTTCCCGTTTCACAGACAAATGTCTGCCCTTCTACGACACCCTCTGAGGAAACAAAAGATTTGAGTGGGACGAACGATGCGAGACAGCTTTCCAGGAATTGAAGAATTATCTGGCGAGCCCACCAATCTTAGCAAAACCAGTCGAAGGAGAGCCACTCTTCCTCTACATCGCAGTGTCTGCTACAGCTGTAAGCGGAGTGCTTATCAGAGAAGAACGATCCGAGCAAAAGCCCATTTTCTACATCAGCCAGACATTAACCAACGCCAAGACTCGATACCCCCAGATCGAGAAGGTTGCCCTAGCCGTCGTAGTCTCGGCTCGGAAACTACGCCCGTACTTTCAATCACATTCGATTGTTGTGTTCACTACGCTTCCCCTGCGCTCGATCCTACACAGCCCTAGCCAATCCGGTCGGCTCGCCAAGTGGGCAATAGAGCTAAGCGAATACGACATCGAGTATCGGAACAGGTCGTCTGCAAAGTCACAAGTGCTCGCAGATTTCCTCATTGAACTTCCCGTCGACGGCTCGTCGTCCAAACACGGCTCGGGAATAGGAATCCGCCTCACCTCTCCCACCGGAGAAATATTGGAGCAGTCTTTTCGCCTGAACTTCCACGCCTCGAACAACGAAGCGGAATATGAAGCATTGTTCGCCGGCATACGACTAGCGCAGGAAATTGGAGTTCGAAAGATAAGAACCTTTTGCGATTCACAGCTCGTAGCATGTCAGTTCAACGGAGAATACGAGGCGAAGGACGGACAAATGGGAGCTTACCTCAAAGTGGTCCGAGAGTTGGTGCAAAAATTCGATGAGTTCGAACTCACTCGTATCCCCCGAGGAGAAAACACCTCGGCCGACGCATTGGCAGCACTCGCTTCGACCTCAGACCCAGACCTCCGGCGAACGATCCCAGTCGAATTCATCGAACGTCCTAGCATCGAAGAGGTGGAAGGAGTTCGGCTGATAAATCCTCCTGAACAAGAACCAGAGGACGACGAAGCCGTTCCTATGGACGAAGACGCCTCGCCGGCCGAGCCGGAGTACGGCTGCGACAAGGAATGGCTCGGAGCTATCCGAATGTATATCGCCGATGGAGAGACGCCAACCGACAAATGGGAAGCCCGCAAACTAAAAGCTCAGGCCGCGCGGTATGTCCTCGTCGATGGCGAGGTGTTTAAGTGGAGATTTTTAGGGCCTCTCATGACATGCGTCGAAGGACCGGAGGCAAGAAAGATCATGCACGAGGTGCACAGCGGTGCGTGCGGGAACCATTCCAGCGGAAGGTCGCTCGCTATCAAGATTAAACTGCACGGCTACTTCTGGCCCACGATGGTCAAGGACTGCGAGAAATTAACGGCGAAGTGCGAGAAATGTCAGCGGCACGCTCCAACAATTCATCAACCTACCGAGTTACTCTCGTCAATTTCGTCACCTTATCCGTTTATGAGATGGTCGATGGACATCGCTCGAAGCAGAAACGTTTTCTGCTCGTCCTCACGGATTACTTCTCCAAGTGGGTCAAGGCCGACTCTTACGCAAGCACAAAGGATGTTCAAGTCGAACACTTCGTCTGGAAAATATAATCTGCCGCCACGGGGTCCCTTACGAGATAGTCACCGACAACGGATCCCAGTTCATCTCAACACGCTTCGAAGCCTTCTGCGAAAAGTGGAAAATCCGCCTCAGCAAATCTACGCCAAGATACCCTCAAGGGAACGGACAAGCCGAAGCAGCCAATAAGACGATCCTCAACGGTCTGAAAAAGAGGCTCGACGCCAAGAAAGGACGGTGGGCAGACGAACTCGAAGGAGTCCTTTGGTCTCATCGGAAAACTCCGCGCCGAGCCACAGGGGAAACTCCATTCGCTTTGGTCTACGGATCGGAGTGCGTAATTCCCCCCGAAGTGGATTTCCCAGGTATCCGACGCAGACTTCTACCAGGACAGGAGGGCTTGAACCACTTAATGATGCTAGATGAGCTCGACCTTATCAACGAGAAGCGCAATCAAGCCTTAATTCGAATCCAGAACTATCAACAAGCGACGGCGAGATACTACAACAAAAACGTTCGAAGTCGAAGATTCAAAACAGGGGAGCTCGTCCTCCGAAAGGTCTTCCAAAACACTGCCGAGAAGAAAGCAGGAAAGCTCGGAGCAAATTGGGAAGGTCCTTACAAGGTCACAAAAGTGGTTCGTCCAGGAGTCTACGAACTCGCGACACTAGCTGAGGAGGCGATTCCAAGATCATGGAATGCAATGCATCTGAAAAAATACTATCACTAAGGATGCAGCACGACCAGCATGAACTACGGGACGGCTTGATCCCTGCAAAGGGTACGTAGGCAGCCCGTCTTCGGACGGGTTCAGCTGTCCCCCCTCCTAAAAAAGGGGGGGAGTGGGTACGTATACACATACCTCCTTTAACTCTACTATTTTGACTTGCCCACTTAGGAACATCGCCACTTCGGCATATTCTCAGTTCGTTTTTAATCATCTACTTATTTCACTTTTACCCTTGATTTCTGGTTCGTTTATTATCGCTTCGGCTAGCTTCACATTGTAACAAGCTCGGATTTTTGAATTCTTTAACTCACCACTTCGGCATGATATCATGACCTGATTACCTCGGACCTTTAACGGTCCTCAATTTAAGTTCGGCAAACTAAGCCTTCGAACGCCTCGTCTCGTTGCTGGCCACAACGGGGCAACAAATTCAAAGTTCTCTAAACGGACTTTTACCACCTTTCCTAGGACGAGGGTGCAAGTTACATCCTCTACGGATAAAAATCAAAGCGCGCTATACAAATATCAGACCAAAAACGTATCAGGTCGCCACGATTTACTATCGCACACGAGAATATAAGTCGAGACTACATCGCTTTCTCTAAAACCGAAGTAAAACTCTTAAACCCGGATAAACATACTCGTCCTCTCGAGAACACCGGTCCATAGACAGGTTCGATAACACTTCATCCTTGGCTAACAAAAGCAAAATGCCTCGTCGTTTTTACGGCTCGGCACCATTCAAAACAAAACGCCTCGTCGTTTTCACGGCTCGGCACCATTCAAAACAAAACCGCCTCGTCGTTTTCACGGCTCGGCACCATTCAAAACAAAAACGCCTCGTCGTTTTCACGGCTCGGCACCATTCAAAACAAAACCGCCTCGTCGTTGTCACGGCTTGGCACCATTCAAAACAAAACCGCCTCGTCGTTTTCACGGCTCGGCACCATTCAAAACAAAAACGCCTCGTCGTTTACACGGCTCGGCAACATTCAAAGTGAAAACGCCTCGCCGTAAACACGGCTCGGCATTACCAGCAAAGATTTGCCTAAACATTATCACGTAACACTCTTTTACTATCAAAGATTTGCCTAGAACCTAAACGAGGTCCTTAAAACAATTCATCCCTTAGCCCATATTTCGGTCAATTTCGAAAATACAGTTAAGGAAGAAATCAAAATCGCTCTCAACATAACAGCCTTCGTCCTTGACAATTTTTCGTAAACATTTTTACGGATAAATGGACAAGTAAGTCCGAAAACGGCTAAGGAAAATATATTCATTAAGCGAAAATAAAGAGTCGGGTGGATAAAGCCGTCCAGGCACAGAACACATAAAAGTTCAAAAGAAAGCGGATAAAATCCTAAGTATAGAAGCAAGCAAGAAAAATTTGTGAGCCAAAACTTATGCCGCGGACTGCGTTTCACGATCGGCGAGAAGGTTCGAGGGAATCGGCGTACCCGCGTTCGAGCCATTTGGGTCCACAACGCCTAAATTGGCCGCTGTTTCTTTGAGCGGCTCGTTGCCGAGGGTGGTGTCGACCGAGTCCGGCAATACGGGAGAGTAATACAGTTCGCCCTGAATCTCGGAAGCAATACGCTCGTACGCCTCGTCGTCGGCATACTCACTCACCCAGCTTTTCAGCTTTGCCTCCTCGTCGTCAAGCGTCGGGGCGTCCGGCTTTCCCAGGTCGCTCCAGCTTGACCAAACCCTCCTCCACCTTGGCAAGGCGTTCCTGAAACTTCGCCGTCAGCTCGCGCCTCGCCTCCTTCTTCGCGCGTTTGACCTTGGCTTCGAACAGCGCGTCCTTGGCCTCGATACGCCTTTTAAGCAACACCACCTCGGCGGCTTTGGCTCTCCTTGCTTCCTCCAGGCGAATCACCGAGGCGGAAACTTTGTTCACGTCTGCTCGGAGAACTATCTTCTCCTCTTCCAACCTCGACACTCGGGTCATCGCCTCGGTGAGTTTCCCCTTCGCTGCCGCGGCTTCGTTTTGCGCCTCTTCCAGCTTCACTTTTGACGCCGCGGTCTCATTTTGGGCCTCTTCCAAGCGACGTTCGACCTTAGACAGGTCCGCCTCATACTCGGCCATCAGGTCGTTAATAGCCACGACAAACTGCAAAGAACAAACTCGCGTTAAACACTTAGCAAAAGTTTACGAAAATAAACGGAAGCGAATAGAAACGTACCATGCTGCGCCATCGCGCCGTTTGACCTCGGCCTCCTCAGCTTCTCCGGAGGAAGAAGACGCGTGTTCGCGTTATTTACACGCGAGAACATGACGGCAGAAGTGTCAGGTTTCCCCGGGCGTCGGTTTCCGCCTCTTCTTGGACGGCTCGTCCTTCTGGACGGCGACGCCTTTCCCTTTGTCAGTAGCCGAACGTTTTCTGCTAGAGTCATGCTTCTGGACGACCGAAGTCGGTGGCCTCGTCGACTTCGGGAGGGCCAGGATGGCGGATTGCGAAGGAGTCTTACTCCGCGCCGCCGAGCCGTCCCCGGACACCTCGGGGATAATTTTTCCCGGTTCCACCTCGGGCACTATATCTTTCTCAGCCGCCTCGGCAGTGTCGCCTTCTGCGGCTCGGATCATCACATCCCCTTCCCGGCTCGGAGGGTCGGGTTGAAGGACGGCCTCGGTTTGCGCTGGGACCGCCTCGGCTTACGCCGGAACCGCCTCGATTTGCGTGCGAGCCGCCTCGGCAGCTCGTCTAGCGGCTTCCTCTTCCTCGCGCCTCTTCCTTTCTCTAAGGGCGATCACCACCATCTTCTCCCGGGTATCTCTCGAAGAACTTGAGGACGAAGAACTGACGGGGACTCCGGAAAAGATGGCTCGCGCTTTTTCTACTCTTTCGAGGGTGAAGTTTTTTCTCCAATGAACCTTCCACGCCGAAAGAGAGTCTCGAACAGTAAAGAGGTCGTCGGGAATCGGGGGAAGATAGCACCAAACTGCAAAACAAAGCAAAAAAGCAAAAGTTTCAGAAAAGGAAGAGAATATCAACTGAATCTCCAAGCCGAGGCAAAGCTTCGGGTCGGCTACCAAGTGGTCCCCAAGCAGTCTTGGTTCGGTGAACGTAATCTTCACCGACCGACGCCTCGTTCACCAAGACGTAGAAGAAGCGTTCAGTCCAAAACTGATCCTTGCTGGGAAAACCGCCAAAAATCCGTCACTTCTGCTTGTTGGAAATATAGAACCTATTTCCTTTCGGAGCTTTCCTGATTTCCAAAAAGTTCAGCAGGTGATTCAGCTCGATGTCAAGACCGCATTCGAAGCTTCGGACTAAAATGCCGATCATACGCCGTAATCCCCTCGGCATAATCTGCCCAATCGAGATCCCGTGTTTCCAAAGGTATTCGAGGATCACTCCGGGGATCAGGAACCAGAGAAAGCAAAGCTCGAAGAACGCCTCGTACAGAGTGAAGTGATTCTCCGGAGGCTTGTCGGCTCGGTCGCTCTTCTCGGGAACGACAAACTCCACCGCCTCGGATATCCGAAGCGATGCCTCAACGCCTCGAGCGACTCAAGGGAAGAAGGCGTAGAGCCAGGCGGATCAGGCTTTTGTCTTTTAACTCGTGGTCCTCGCCCAGATGTGGAAGCGCCTCGGGACGCCATGAGACGTTCCAACTCGTACTTCGCCTCGAGTAGGTCAAAGGGAAATGCTTCCTCCTCGGCTTTTATTATGGCGCGATTAACACCTTCATCAGAAACCGGGTCCTGGGGACGGCTCGTCGAAGCCAACGGCTCGTCATCTGCAGAACCCTCGTTTGATGGATTCGCGTCATTCAACGCCTCGTCAGATGAACGATTGGAAGGGTTCGGCGAAACAAACGCCTCGGAGGATTCTGTTGAACTTTTCGCCTCGGCATCTACGCGGCTCGGCTCGTAATGAAAAAGCGAGTCCAACGAATCGTCGGAGCGGCTCGACATGATTTACAAGTTAAACAAGAATTACAGAAGGACTCGGCGAACCTCTGCCGGAAAAAGATCTAGGACGGCGGAGACCTCGGACACCCTAGCCGGAAAATAAATAAACTAGAGAGAGAAAGAAGAGAGAAGGGAGAGCTACCTTTAGTGAAAACGAGTGAGTCTGGAGATAATGAGGAAGAGTGAAGGAGCTCACCTATTTATAGAAAAAACGAAGCGCGTGAATTCCGCGTAAACTCGGGAAGCCGTCCAACAGCGCGTGGGATCCGCGGTAAACTGGCTATACCGGACTGCGTCATTGGCACGCGCCGAAAGATCAGGAATTTCCTCTCGGAAGACCAACAGTCAGGGTACCCAGGTTAACGAAACGGCTCGGTATTGACTCTTTCTCTCTCGAAACGCCTCGTCGTTAACAAAACGGCTCGGTATTGACTCTTTCTCTCTCAAATCGCCTCGTCATTAACGAAACGGCTCGGCGTTGGATCTGTTTCTTGAATCGCCTCGTCGTTAACGAAACGGCTCGGCGTTGAATCTGTATCTTGAAACGCCTCGTCGTTAACGAAACGGCTCGGCATTGACGTTCTTTCTTGAGACGCCTTGCTGCTAACAAAACAGCTCGGCACGAGCTTTCTCTTGAAACGCCTCGCCATTTGTTCGGCTCGGCATAACCTCCTCAAATCACCTCGTCATGGGCTATCACTATTAAAAAAAAAATCGCCTCGTCCTTAATCTTGCCTCGGCATCTTCGGTACCATCTCGAACACCTCGGCATCCTCGGCACTCCTTGGGAACGCCTCGGCGTCTTCATTCCCAAAACGTCTCAGCGCCTTCATTCCCAGAACGCCTCGGCGCCTTCATTCCCAGAACGCCTCGGCGCCTTCATTCCTAGAACGCCTCAGCGCCTTCATTCCCAGAACGCCTCGGCGCCTTCATTCCCAAAACGCCTCGGCGTCTTCATTCCCAAAACGCCTCGGCGTCTAACTCAGTGGTTTATCCTACGGTCGGAAATAATGGACCTCGTCACTCTTGCCTCCGAAACTGACGAGCTGGGGGGCTAACTGTTGGGGTCGGTTTTCACCCCAAGTAGATAAACCACCTCAGAATGGCTAAGTATGGAAGAAAGATAAGTGGGAGAGCCGTGGTCGCCAAGTGGGAGAGCCGTGGTCGCCAAGTGGGAGAGCCGTGGTCGCCAATTGGGAGAGCCGTTCTCACCATGACAAGTAGAGAGCCGTTCTCACCAAGAAAAATGGGAGAGCCGTGCAGATAGGCCAGTACGGAGAGCCGTGAAAGAAGACAGGTGGACCGAGCCGCATCGAAAGAAATGGGCCGAGCCCCACTTCAACACTTTTGGGCTGAGCCGTGTATCGGTGCGGTGGGCTAGATCATGTCTCCATGGCAAGTGGGCCGAGCCGTGAAGAAGGCTAGATGGGCTGAGCCGTAAAGAAGCTTGGACGAGCCGAACCAAAGCCATGAGAGATGAAGCCCATGGAAAACCCTAGGCGAGATGCAAAGGCGGTCAGCCGCACGAGGCGATAAGAAAATATTCCAAAAATCTCGCCCGAGATTTTCGGCTAGGCGGTTTAGAAAGTTAGTATAAATATATGATGTATGCAATTCATTCCGCCAATTTTGGCAACCCTAAGCAATAAGACCTACACACTTTCACAGCAATAAAAATCCTCTTTTGATCTTACTGTTCTTGCGATTACCCTAGAAGTTTCAGATCCCTTAGTTTCTCTGCACAAATTCTTGGTTGTGCGAGTTTTGGCTCACACAGTTATCTCATATAGTTAACAACCATTACATTGTTTACCTTAAATTCCCCTCGAGACAGTATCCTCAATTTCCGTGGCCTACCTGGTGGACGACGTACAGCTGGTGGCGCAAGCTTCCCTCCGTCGACATCTCCTGCTCTGGGTGCGAGGTGGTCCATATCTGGAACATGCATTATGAGGCCACTGTATGCTAACTTGCGATATTCAGTAGTGTAGTGTATGTCAACCAAACTGTTTACACGAACGCCTTCTTTAATGGCTGCAGCTATGGCATGGCAGCAAGGTATGTGCAGTAACTGAAATTCCCGGCAACCGCAAGTTTGTTCCCACAGATTAACCGCAAAAGCCGTATCCATTTCATCTCTGACTTTGTAGAGGCCGTTACCTGTCATGGTAACTAGATTAGTCGATATTTATGTCATATACAAAACTATGTTAAACTATAACTTATGTAAGAAATATAATTACCGATTTTCATGACAAAGTAACCAGACGACTTGTGGAAACTCTCTATCAGCATTTCTTGGATCTTCGGATTGACTACGTCGTTTTCGGTATTTGCAGACTCTCTCTTGAGTGCAAACCAGGACACCAGGGTTGTTCTTATTGTCTCCAAAATGGAAATGATTGGGTATTCCCTAACCATCATCATAACCTAGTTTAACGATTCTAAAATGTTGCTAGTTATCACATTGTAGCGCTCACCAAAGAAATGAGACCTGGTCCAGTGTTCAAATCCTATTTGGGCTAGATAATCAGCACACCTAACATCGATAGCCTTTATCTCATCAAAAGCCTTGTCAAAGTCGCTAAAGCGGTAAGCGCGACCAGCGATAGATGTAAGGTGACTGAGGTGTTCAGATTTGAAGTTTGTGACGACATTCCTTTGCAAGTGGACAATGCAGGCTCCATGGGACGACATTGGATATACCTGAAACAAGACAAGCGTTACGATAGTTAGCTGGTATTAACAATGCTACTTATAAAACTTAGTTAACTTCTAACATATAGACAGTTCCTAACCTTTCGTATACTCACATATATTGAAGCATGCTGATTGGTGGTAAGATTTCTCAGAAACCACTCCCATGACTCGTCGTTTTCACTGTCGACGATTCCAAACCCAAGTGGAAACACTTGAAAATTCCCATCTTGAGCACTAGCGGCCATGAGACAACCACCATAACAACCGCTTAGGTGTGTAGCATCGATCACCACCACCTTCCTCATGTAGCGATATCCCTTTGCACAGGCATCTAGCGAGTAGAACAGGTACTTGAAACGAACAACACCTGTTGGGGAAGTTTCTGTGTCCAAAGCAACTACGGAGTTGGGATTGCTGATGAGTAGTTTATCAAAATAATGCTGCACAAGAGCAAAGCTTGCCGCCACCCCTCCAAGAGCATTGTCCATAGCAAGTTCCCTCGCCCTCCATTCCTTCCAGTAGCTCATGTGAAGGCTGTACTCTTGACGTAGCAATCGTCGTAGATCACATGCTCTAGGTCCCCTCATGTTTAAGCCATATCTCTCTCTGACCATCTTTCCTATGACCTCTGTAGATGCAACACGATGGAAGTCACCGCGTGCGTCCACACTGCAAGTGTGGTTTGAGTTAACCATCCTCACTTCAAATTTAATAATATCCTTCAACTGAACCGCATATATTTAAAATATATATTAGAATTAGAATTTTGATATTAAAATTTGAATGCTGATGTGGACCAATAATATTACTTTTTTGAATCCTATGTGGACACCCTTAGAAGCCTATAGCTTCAACTTTTATTATTATAAGAAGATATATATATATATATATATATATATATATATGTTATTAATCTTCAATAATACTTCTAAACTATGTATGTATAAAAGAAAAATAAAATCGAGACCAGAAATTAAATGACAATTTAACTTGCAATAAGACGCTACATCATATGATGTGAGACGAATCGGATATGTTCAGATACCAGCAAGCTGGAGATCATTACTTGAATATAAAATATAAAAATATAGTGTATTGTGACTATGTAAATCTTAAACCTAGATATAATACCTTTACATATTGTTATGTGATAATGGTTGATAATTTTTTTAATATTGAAAATTTTCAAACCTACTCAATAATACCATCAATCAATGTGAATTTCTATTTTATATTATAAAAATAAGAACTTTAATTATTATAACTAAGATAATACTTTTTATTTATGAAGTTGTGTATACTATTTCAATAAAAATATGTGATTAAATTGTTTCACTCATCTTTTTATAAGTAACTACCAACAAAATAAACACATAGCTGACTACCTACTTATCCTGATCCACATACTAAACATAAAAAAAAAAAATCATATCCCACATACATACTGTCTTATCTAATATACCCCCAAAAAATGGTCTAAATTATTTCCCTTTTAACTATATATTTTCTTAACTAATGGTCCATATTTATTCTCTTTTAACTACAGTAAAAACTCTATAAATTAATAATATTAGTTTTGATATTTATTAATTTATAGATTTATGAATTTTTACATTTTGAATAAAAAATAATAACTACTCCTACTAATTATTAATTTTAGAAAGAGTTTTTTAAAAAGTTTATAATATGAAATTATTCTCTTCTAAAATTAAAGATGAGATTTTAAATAAATTTAATTTAAAATAAAAAATACAATAGATTCTTTTTTTTTCAACAGCAAATACAATAGATTCTTTTTTTTTTTTTTAAGAATGTAAAATTTTATTCATCAAAAAAACGTTTTTACAATGAATGTAGCTGAGTAATAGAAAGAGTTCTTTTTAGATTACATGATTGATTCGTTTTCAAATGAAAATGTTATGCTTCGTGCTACCTGGTGGCAAACCACCTCTGAAGTCCATCTTCGTATCTGGCCGATCCCATCTTTCGAATCGAAGAGAGTCTGTTTCAAATGCATTTGTCTAGGAAGGTTGTGAGAAGATGCGTGGTTGACGGGTCATCTTCATGGCATCTTCTATTTCGTTCCCGCCAAATGCAGTGAACCATTGCTTGAAAGGTGTATCGAAGGAGAAACAGAGTAGTTGCTGCTTGATTTGTGTCTTGAAGAATAGAGATTAGATCGGACCATGATGTCGTGAATCGAGTGCCCATCAAGTTTTTCACCAGGTTCGTCCAGATTGCTGCAGTGAAGCGACAAGAGAAAAATAGACGATCTCTAGTCTCCAGCGGATGCTTACACAGAACGCACTCCGTGTTAACTCCTTTGCCCCATGATACCATTCGATTTTTGGTTGACAGCCGATCCAGGATAGCCGACCAAACAACGAAAGAGTACTTAGGTGTAGCAAACGAAAACCACACTCCGGAATGCCAGCTCACTCGCGGATGCTCCCTTCTGATTTGATTCCAAGTCTCTTGTGAAGAGAAGCTTGATTTATATATGTCGTTCCTCCCTTTCCACAATGATCTGTCCATGTGCGAAGCTCGTCGCAGCTTCTGGTCTGCAATGAGCTGTTCAATCTCATTATAGATCGAGGTGCGGTGAGTTCATTGTCGATGCCTATCCATTACTGAACCGACTGTCTCCTGCAATCGAATTCCAAGACCAATTCTCCCTCCCATACCCATTTTCTCAATCAGTATGCCTTGAGATGACCATTGATCATACCAGAAGGAAGTACTATAACCGTTTCCAATTTCGACTCTGCAGAATTGTCTTGCTATATCTCGATTTTTCAGTATCTTCCTCCACATCCAGGATCCTGCCTGACTATCCCCCGAAACAGACCAAAATGAAGCTCCTCGCAACAGATACAATTGAATCCACTGTACCCATAATGACGACTGTGAACTGATTATCCTCCAAATTAGTTTCAAGCAGCTGACTTTGTTAACCTCTTTGATGGATCATATACCCAGCCCTCCCTCTTCTCTCGGTTTGCACACTTTAATCCAAGTGACCTTTGCCTTTTTTGCATTCAGGTCTGGTCGTGACCAGAGGAATGCAGAACATAGCTGCTCAATGCTACGCATACACTCTCGAGGAAGACAATATGCAGCTGACCAAAAATTCACCAAGCTCATCAAAACCGATTTCAGCAACTGCAGCCTTACTGCAAAAGACAAGAAACGAGTTCGCCAAGATCGAATGCGTGAACGAATTTTCTCTAACAGAGGCAAATAGTCCCCAGTCGTCATTCTCCTAGTGGTCAAAGGGAGACCAAGATATCGGACCGGTAAAGTATCAATGGCAAAGGGAAATCTATCTGCAATTGCTTGTCGTTCATGAACAGTCACTCCAGCAATATACAATGTCGATTTTTCCAAGCTAATCTTCAACTCAGACATCTTAGCAAAATCCTCAAAAACATCAATAATACCCTCCATAGATCTGAGTTTTCCATCCGCAAACACCATCAATCATCTGCAAAACATAAATGTGTAAGACTCAAGTTTTTGCATGACGGATGGTACCCGACTCGGCGGTCAGCTGTAGCTTTGTCAAGAAACTTTGAAAGAACATCCATACAAATAACAAAAAGGTATGGTGAGAGCGAGCATCCTTAACGTAACCCTCGTTTACTTTGAAAGAAACCCTGCCAACTCTCCATTAATTTGTACAGAAAAGGACGCAGTAGATATACAGAGTCTGATCCAATGAATGAATCTGTCTGGGAAGTTTAATGCAGAGAGAGTGTTGAGGAGGAAAGGCCACTGAACAGATCAAAAGCTTTTGAGATATCTATCTTCATAGCACACCTCGAAGAAATTCCTTCTTTATGATAATCTTTAACTAGCTCAGTAGCCAACAGAAGATTTTCAAGCAGAAGTCTATTCTTCAAAAAAGCTGTTTGATTTGGAGCAATAAATCTCGGTAAGATAGTCTTCAGCCGATTTGCCAGAATATTAGAAATCACCTTATAGATGACATTACAATACGATATAGGGCGATAATCTTTCATTTGCTTCACCTCCTCCTTTCTAGGAATCAGAGCCAAGATCGTTGAATTCAGTCCTTTGGGAAGAAAACCCAACAAGAAGAAAGATTTAACTGCTGTTGTAAAATCATTCCCAACTATCGATCAAGCAGCCTTAAAAAATTCTGATGTATAACCATCAGGCCCAGGAGACTTAGCTGATGGCATTTTGAAAAGAACTTCCTTCACCTCCTCATCAGAGACTTCGTGAATAAGGAATAAATGGTCTTCCTCTGAACATCTAAATTCAAGCAAGTTTCGCAGTCTATCCTCTGATACCTCTTCAATATCAGTCGGCTCCAATTGCAGAAAGTCCTAGAAGAACCACACTGCTTCAGCCTTTATACCGTGCTGAGTCGAAGCAATAACCCCATTTTGACATTCAATTTCCCGGATTGAATTCCTCATCTCTCTTTCTTTAGCTGCTAAGTGTAAAAACTTATTATTGCCATCCCCCACAGTAAGCCAATGTAATTTCGACCTCTGTTTTAGAAATTTTTCCTCAAGCCCTGCAACACGTTCCCATTTACGAAAAACCTATGCTTCTTCCTGAACAGCCTGCGTCGACGGACTGGTGAGAGTAATAGCTTGCTTTTCACAAAGTTGAGAATAAGCCTCCTTCGCTCTAGTTTGTAAATTATCGATCCTTTTCTTTTTCAGGTCCCGAAGCTTAGGTTTTAAAGCTTTAAGCTTCTTTGAAAGACGAAACAGAGCCGAAGTTGATTGAAACAAAACTGGGGTCTCATCCCAGTGTGTCGCAACTGTTGGCAAAAAGTCTTCCAATTCAGTAAGCACATTCATAAATTTAAAAACGGCTTTTAGTCTGTTCCCCTGGGGTATCGAGTAAGAAACGGCAGCGAAGATGATCCGAGCATCCTCCCAGCTCGAAGATAGAGTATGAATGCGGATATCTCTGATTCCAAATGTCATTAACTAGCACCCTATCCAACTTTTTGTTAATGACACCCTGATCTCTCTTATTGCACCAAGTATACATAGGACCATGGTAAGTGAGATCCGTGAGAGAGCAATAAGTTGCGATCTCTTGAAAATCCCTCGTACCAGCAGACAAAGATGGCGAGCTGATGAATTCAGAGTGTTCTTCAATATCCAAAATCTCATTGTAATCCCCTATTAATACCCACGGTTTGTTTCGAATAACAGGGGAATCTTGGTGAGACTTGATATCCGCCCACAGCTCTTGCCTCTCCATAGCAAAATTCAAAGCATATATAAATGAGCATATGAACTCATTTTCCTCACCGTGAATCTGTATCGAACATGTGACCAACTGAGCACTTTTAAACATTGGTGTTTGTCGTACTTTTGGGCTCCACAGAATCCATATACGACCTAACCGATGATATTCGTAATTTGAAAGAAACGACCACCCTTGAAAAACTGATGATGCGATTTGGTATGCCTTACTCTCCTTAACTCGAGTCTCAAGCAGACACCCAAACTGAAAAGAACCTTCATTCAACCACTTCTTCACCACAGAATGTTTTAAATTTTTATTAAATCCGCGCACATTCCAGAAGAACCTTATCATCTAATTTTTTTATTGGTTTTTCTTCTTTGCTGCAGCACTCGGACCTTGGTCCTTTGTGTTGACAGCACTTGTGTTCGAAAAAAGCTTGTGGGAGGCCTTGGCTGCC